TGCATGAAAACCACCCGAGTATGTTACTACCAGCAGATAAAGAGAATCTGAAGGAATACACACTGAACTGTTAGGATTGATGGAAGATGGAATTAGGAGAGAGATTTTCACTAGTACATTGTGAATTTCTGTAATGTTTAAGTTTTGTTTTGTTTTGTTTTTTAAGTAATCTCTACACCCAATGTGGGGCTTGAACTTACATCCCTGAGATCAAGAATTGCATGCTCTTGGGCACCTGGGTGTCTCACTCGGTTAGCCGTCTGCCTTTGGCTCAGCTCATGATCTCAGGGTCCTGGGATCGAGCCCCGCATCGGGCTCCCTGCTCAGTTGGGAGCCTGCTTCCCCTTCTCCCCTGCCCGCCGTTCTGCCTCCTTGTGCTCTCTCTCTCTGTCAAATAAATAAAGTCTTAAAAAAAAAGAATTGCATGCTCTACTGACCGAGCCAGCAGGCATCCCTATAATGTTAAAGTATTTTTGCAAGGGAACATGTTTGTAGTCAGAAAAAAAATCAACAGATTACAAACTTGCTGAAAAGAGTAGTGAGATAGTGCAGAAAAAACACGTTGAGGTCATAAATTGCAAGCTCAGTGTAAAGCTTATGCAGATGTTTGGGAGGCTGGGGAGAAGTTAGATAGAAATTCATAGAGAAGGGCGCCTGGGTGGCTCAGTCAGTTAAGCGTCTGCCTTTGGCTCAGGTCATGATCTTAGGGTCCTGGGATCAAGTCCCGCATCAGGCTCCCTGCTCAGCAGGGAGTCTGCTTCTCCCTTGGCCCCTGCCTCATGTTTGTGCTCCCTTTCTCTCTCTCTCTAAAATAAATAAATAAAAATCTTTTTAAAAAATTAAAATTAGGGCGCCTGGGTGGCTCAGTTGGTTAAGTGACTGCCTTCAGCTCAGGTCATGATCCTGGAGTCCCGGGATCGAGTCCTGCATCGGGCTCCCTGCTCAGCAGGGAGTCTGCTTCTCCCTCTGACCCTCCTCCCTCTCATGCTCTCTGTCTCTCATTCTCTCTCTCTCAAATAAATAAATAAAATCTTTTAAAAAAATTAAAATTAAAAAAAGAGAAATTCATAGAGAAAAGAATGCAAGTTTCTGGTAGAGGGTATTTCTTATGTCCCTCTTGTATATTCTCTGTGGTACTTCTAATACCACAAACTGAGTGACCTAAACAACAGAAATGCACCGACTGTGGTGAAGGTGAGATGTCTGAGGGCAAGGGGTCAGCCCGGCAGTGCTCCCTCCAAAGGCGTTAGGGAAGGATCTGTTCCGGGCCTCTCTCCTGGCTTCTGGTAGGTTCCTCGGTGGCAGAACTCCAGTCCACACAGGACGTTCTCCCTGTATGCACATCTGGGGCCAACTTCCCCCTTTTTATAAGGACACCAGTTATACTGGATTAGGGGCCCAGTCTACTCCAATATGACCTCATCTTAACTAACTGCGTGTATAATGACCCTATTTCTAAATAAGGTCACATTCCAGAGTACTAGGGGTTGGGACTTCAACATCGGACCTTTTGGGGGACACAATTCAACCTATAACCTACTACTCATGTTCAGTTTAAAGATATAATAATAAAATAAACACAAATGGAGCCACCACTCAGCTTAAGAAATAAGAGATTGCAGGGTGCCTGGCTGGCTCAGTCGGTAGAGGCTGTGAGTTCAAGCCCCATGGTAGGTATAGAGATCTTAAAATAAAATAAGAAAATCTTTTCTTGGGGCGCCTGGGTGGCTCAGTCGTTAAGCGTCTACCTTCGGCTCAGGTCATGATCCCGGAGTCCTGGGATCGAGCCCCGCATCGGGCTCCCTGCTGGGCGGGAAGCCTGCTTCTCCCTCTCCCACTCCCCCTCCTTGTGTTCCCTCTCTGGCTGTCTTTCTCCCTGTCAAATAAATAAAATCTTTAAAAAAAGAAAAAAAAAGAAAATCTTTTCTTAAAAAAGAGAAATAAGAGAGTAAACACTTTTTAGGGGCACCCGGCTGGCTTAGTAGAACACGTGACTCTTGATCTCGAGGTCGTGAGTTCAAGTCCCACGTTGGGTGTAGAGCCTACGTAAAAAAAAAAAATTGGGGGGGGACGCCTGGGTGGCTCAGTTGTTGGGTGTCTGCCCTCGGCTCGGGTCCTGATCCCAGGGTCCTGGGATCGAGCCCCGCATGGGGCTCCCTGCTCAGTAGGAAGCCTGCTTCTCCCTCTCCCGCTCCCCCTGCTTGTGTTCCCTCTCTCGCTGTCTCTCTCTGTCAAATAAATAAATAAAAATCTTAAAAAAAAAAAAAACAGAAGACACTATCTCAGAATGTTAACACTGACAATTTTGGGCGTCTGGGTGGCACAGTTGGTTGGGCGACTGCCTTCAGTTCAGGTCATGATCCTGGAGTCCCGGGATCGAGTCCCGCATCGGGCTCCCTGCTCGGCAGGGAATCTGCTTCTCCCTCTGACCCTCCCCCCTCTCATGCTCTCTCTATCTCATTCTCTCTCTCAAATAAATAAATAAAATCTTTGGAAAAAAAAAAAAAGAATGTTAACACTGACGATGTTATTTTCCTCGTTCTGTTTTTCCAAATTTCAACAATGAATGTGGGCTTCTCTTGTTAGAAAGAACCACAGGTGAAGACGGAGCTGCTAGGAGCTCCGGCTCCAGCTTTTCCATTTGCCCAAGGGCCCGATTATCAGTGATTTCCACCCCGGAGTCTGTCCTCCAGAGCCCTGATGCGACCCTCACAGTACTGCCCTGGAGAGAAGGACTCTGTGCTCCAGGGTGGCCCTGGCTTTTTCTTTCAAGCCGTGGGTGAAACTGGTGGAAACAAAATTCTCCCAGGCCTTATCAAGGCCTGGCTCCTCTTAGACCCTTTGTCCAGCCAGCCCCTCGCTGGCCCTGGGCCCCTGAGACTGGATGGACTCTGGGCTCACTGAGGGTCCTGGTTCGGCAGCTGCCCAAACCAGGGGTTCTCAAAGTGTGGTCCCCACACGGCCAGCATCAATCAGCACCACCAGAGAACTTGGTAGAGGTGCAAATCTTGGACCCACCCTGGACCTACGGAATCTGGAACTCTGGGGATGGGGCTCAGCAACCTGTGTTTGAACATGTTCTCCAGGTGGTTCGGATGACCTCTAAAGTTTGAGACCGGGGCGCCTGGGTGGCTCAGTCGTTAGGCGTCTGCCTTCGGCTCAGGGCATGATCCCAGGGTCCTGGGATCGAGCCCCGCATCGGGCTCCCTGCTCCGCGGGAAGCCTACTTCTCCCTCTCCCTCTGCCTGCCGCTCCCCTTGCTTGTGCTCTCTCTCTCTGTTAAATAAATAAATAATAAATAAATAATCTTAAAAAAAAAATCACGCCTCTTCCATTTTACAGAGGAGAAAACAGAAGGGTTTTACTGCAAGGGGAGGCACCTGACTCAAGTGGCACAATTAAGTGGCAGAGGGGAAACTGGAAATTAGATTATCTGTTTCCAGAGCCCCCGACTCTCTTCTGACTCGAGCAGACCTCCCAAGTCCATCCTGATCCACTCTGTCACTGAGTGTCGCCGTGACACGGGCAACCATCAGCGCAGCATCCCCTCTGTGCCAGGTAGGGTGCTTACCTGCACGAGCTCAGCGAGGCTGCACCAGATCCAGTCAGCTTGGCACGAGGGCTAACCCCATTTTACAGAGCAGATAACTGAGGCTCGAGGAGGCTCAGTACACTTGCCCAAGGTCACAGAACTAGAAAGGACAGAGAACACTCACACCAGGTTTCTCTGCCCCAGGGGGGCCCATGCTGGGGCTAGCGGGAGCACCGGAGTTTGCAGAGGCCACCACCATCCAGGGAGGGCTCTTCCTTAGCGTCTACAATCCAGCAGAGACCCCAGAAGGGAGACAGAAATCTTGAATCGGCAAAACAGCTGGCAAAAAGGCAACACTCCAAAGCTATTGCCCTTTACTCCTAGGAAAAAAAGCCCTTGTCTCTTGGTTTGCAAACAAATGTACCAACCTTGCGGGGTGGGGCAGAGCAGAGCAAAAGCAACCCGCCCCCATCCCAACTTTCTCGCTTTCCCTCAGTTATCTGTGCCTCCCCCATGCACTGGCCGTGCCTCAGGGCAAGGCTTCCCAACATTTTCACAGCAGGGCACACATAGAAAACCAAAATATTTACACAGCATCTGAGTCACGTGGAGGGTATTGGGAGATATTTGGAAGTCTTGATGAAAATTTCAGAACACATGCTTCATAACATGTTAGGATTATAAACTGTAGTGTAACGTATTAGGGAAGGTGTTAAAGTTTGGTTTTGTATAAAACTTCCAAATAAAACATCATACCCGTTAAGAGCAGACACAAGAGGCCACATACTGTATGAGTCCGTCCGGACGACGGGGTGGAAACAGCACAACCATCGGGGCAGAAACCGGATCTCTGGTTTCCAGGGGCTACGGTGGGAGAAGGGTGCTGACTGCAGGCTGGCGTGGGGCAATTGGGGTATATATTCCACATCGCCATTGTGGTGGTGGTGGCAGGGCTGTTGACATTTGTCAGAAATCATCAAAGTCAATTTCACTGTGTGTTGATTTAGCGGGAGTTCCTGGAGCTGTCCACTCCTCAGAATCCCTTGGGTGGGAAGTTCAGAAAGCCAGGCCTCACCCACAACCTACTGAATCAGAACCTGGCTGGGGGGGAGCACGAGGGGGGCAGTAAGGTGCATTTTAACAAGCTCCCCAGGTAATGGGGCAGCGGGGTGGTTTGCAGTGTGTGGTTTGGGGCCAAGGCTTCTGGGTCAGGACAGGATTCCAAGCTTCTATCTCCGGCCCAGACCTGAACCCTGAATCCCAGGCTCGTACATCAACGACCACCTGCCCTCTGCCCCTGGATCCTGCCCGCCGCCCTCCCCCCAGCCAGCCCCACCCATAGTCTTCTCTATTTCAATTGATGGCAGCTCCATTCCTCCAGAATTTGAGGGCCCAAACTTTGACATCATCCTCCATTCCTCTCTCGTTTGTTTTTGTTTGTTTTTTTTTTTTTGTCTTGTCATTTAGGTTTTGTTTTTTTTTTTAAGATTTTATTTATTTATTTGAGACAGAGAGCATGGGAGGGAGGAGGGTCAGAGGGAGAAGCAGACTCCCCGCCGAGCAGGGAGCCCGATGCGGGACTCGATCCCGGGACTCCAGGATCATGACCTGAGCCGAAGGCAGTCGCTTAACCAACTGAGCCACCCAGGCGCCCTTGTCATTTAGTTTTTATTTCACAACTTAACTCTTATGTCCAGCTGGACTGGGAGGGGGATAAGGAACATGTGGAACCCAAAGATCTATTGTGAGAGCACAAAGACCATAGGACTCTGCGGGCAGATGGGGAGAGGGGTGCCCTCCCGAGATAAAGCACAAGCCAATTTATTAGCGCTGTCCGTAGACAGCCCTGGTGACCTGGCTGGTCTTGCCGTTCCTGGATCCGGAGCACTCCAGGGTGTCTGTGTCCTCTTTCCAAAGACCACAGGCTCACCATCCAGCTGCTCAGGCTTGGCAGCCCAGATGAAAAACTGGGCAACATTTGTGTTGGGCCCAGCATTGACCATGGACCAGATGCCAGGACCCGTGTGCTTTGGGTTAAAAATTCTCATCATCAAACTTCTCCCTGTGGATGGACTTGCCCCCAGTACCTTCATGGCATGGGACGTCACTGCCCTGGCACAGAAATCCGCGAATCCTTCTGGGAAAGCAGGAGCCAAACCCTTCCTCCCCAGTCCTCAGAGCATGCGAGTTTGCTGCTGTCTTGGGAACTTCGTCTACAAACAACTGGAAGGCGGTGCTGCCCAGCAGCTCAAGAGCACGGTGGGATTGACCATGGCTGGGCAGCGCGGAAGGCTCTGGGTGGCGGGGTCAGCATCTGCAAAGCTTCCTGTCCTGCTCTAGAAATTCTGTCGGCTCTGCCTTCTCACCGCCCCGCTGCCAGCAAACACCCTGGTCTGGGGCACTGTTGTGTCTCATCTGGATGATTACAATGGGTTCCTAACTTCTCTCCTTCTCTCTCCCCTGGGCCAACCTACAGTTTATTCTCAGTACTGTAGCCAGGGTGCTCATGTTAAAATAACAGATGAAGGGTGCCTGGGTGGCTCAGTTGGTTGAGTGACTGCCTTCAGCTCAGGTCATGATCCCAGAGTCCTGGGATCGAGTCCCGCATCGGGCTCCCTGCTCTGCGGGGAGCCTGCTTCTCCCTCTCCCACTCCCCCTGCTTGTGTTCCCTCTCTCGCTGTGTCTCTCTCTGTCAAATAAATAAATAAAAAATCTTTAAAAAAAAAAAATAACAGATGAAGTCATTTCTCGGCCTCAAACCTTCTGGGGGCTCCCCGTTCCAGAGTAAAAGACAGAATGTCCTCCAGGGCCCTCGTTGCTCTGGCCCTGACCTTGGCTCCATCATCTATCTCCAGGCCCTCCAGGCCTTGCTCACTCGGCTCCAGCCACACTGGCCTCCTTGCTGTCTTTTGAACCTGCCAGTCCTGCTCCTGCCTCAGGACCTTTGCATGTGCTGTTCCGTTGGTCTGGAATGGGCTTCCTTCAGTTATCCCCACAGCCTGCCCCCTCACCTCCGAGTCTTTGTTCAGATGTTAACTTCTCAAACCATACTTGATGTCTCCTTCCTCATTTGGCTCTATAGCACCTACCACTCTAATATTTGCTTATTTATTTCTGTCTCCCTCCCTCCTAGAATGTCAGCTGCACCAGGTCAGGGATTTGGGGGGCACTTTTATTCACTGCTGTATCCCTAATGCCTAAACCTGGCCCATAGGACGGGCTCAATAAATGGTTGTTTTAATGAGTGAAGGGGACACCAGAAGCCTAGAGAGAAGGGACTTGCTCAAGGTCATCACCATCTGGAATCAATGGCTCTTCACTCTTGGAACTAACAAAGCACCCGTCCAATAGCTTTGCCCCAAAGTCCTTCTCCCAGCCATGCCAGGTCCCGAGACCAAAGCCAGGCCAGCTGGACCTCATCCCCAGGACAGAAGCAAGGGATAGCCCAGCCTCAGGGGGTGCCTGTCCGACTCTACCAGGACCCTGGTGCTTGTGCAACCAAGTCAAGGGGCTGCCCTGGGAGGGGGCTCCTCTGAAGAAGGAAGCCTAGACATGGCAGTGCCACAGCCTTGTGCTGGTGGAGGCCAAGGCCAGGAGCCACCTCCCTACCCCCTCCAGCTGCCTGAGTTCGGGCATTGGAGACAGTAGCTGGGCCCAGAAGCCGAACCCTATGGAGGGGGGATGGAGAGGGAAGACCAGCAGTTCCCCAGCAAGAGAGCTGGAGAACCTGGAGCTGCTGTAGGTAGCCGGCCAGCACAAGGGGCTCATTCCAAATGCCCCAGGCTCCCTTTCCCCTTGCGGGCCCACACCAGCAGAGGGCACCCCGGCCCACAAGGTCCATGTTCTGCTTTTCTTTCACACGGGTTAGGGCCAGATGGGAGCCTTGCATCCATCTACCCCGTCTCTCTCCAGGGAAGGGTTGCACCCCCACAAGTGAAGATTCAAAGAGGAGGAGGCTCAGCAGCCCTGGGTCCGGGCCCACGCTACCCAGCAAGGTGAGGCTGGTGATGCCCAGGACAGGCCCAGTAGGTGAGCATTTATCGTGGGCTGGGCTCCGGGCCAGGCCATTCTATACCCACCCAGCCCCTGACATGCTTCTCTTCCTCGTAAACTTCACCACCAAGCGGGCCAAGACCCAGGGAGGGATGGCATCCATCCGAGATCACCTAGCAAGGAGATGGTGATGCCAGGTTGGCCTGACTCCTCCCCCAGGCTGCCCTCCCCTCTCTGTCTCTCCAAGGGCTCATCCATAGATCAGGAACCCTTCCCTCCCAGACCTCATGACACACAAAGAGGCTTGTCCAGGAGTTAAAAATATAAAGCGCAAATACCAGCTGGCTTTTACTGAGGGCTTACTATGTGCTGGGCACCAGGTCTGCCAGGGCCCTCCTCCCACCTCCCTGCACTTCCCAGTGGCCAGGGGGAGAGGATGGGCCCAGGCAGCTGAGACCCAGGTCGAGTGGGGAGGGGGCTGAGGTGGAGGTAGAAGGTGGTGGAGGGGCCCCAGCAGTTGGGTCCGCGGAGAGGGCAGGGCTCCTGGTGTCTGTCCAGCTTGAAACCAAAGGCTGAGGAGCCCCCCCTCCTTCCCTCCACCCCAGGCCCTGAGTCAGGCCGGGCAGGGTGAGAGGGCCTGTGAGCTCTGCCTTTTCTCTACATGACCTTCAGGGAAGGGGACCCATCTCAGAGTGGTTTCTCCTGAAGCAAGATGGGGCCAGAGGGCAGAGTGGCCATGCCTAAGGTGACAGTTGGGTCTCTGTGTGGTCTGTGGCTCTTGGTGGTGGTTCCTGCAGCTATTTCCAACTCTCCTCCCTGGCCAGCTACAGCCTGCTCCTGGGTGTTCCTCTGGAGTCATCGCCTGGCCCTGGTGGGACAGAACAGGCAAGAGAGAAAGAGAAAGAACTAGAGCTGGATATCCAGAGGCATCCGACAGAAAAAGAGACAGGGTGTCTGGGTGGCTCAGTCAGTTAAGCGTCTGCCTTCGGCTCAGGCCATGAATCCAGGGTCCTGGGATCGAGCCCCACATCGGGCTCCCTGCTCAGCTCTGCTTCTCCCTCTCCCTCTGCCCCTCCCCTCTGCTCATGCTCTCTCTCTCAAATAAATAAAATCTTAAAAAAAAGAAAAGAAAAGAAAAAGACACAGAGAAGTTCCGAGAGACACAGATAGGCAGAGGGAGAGAAAGAAAGCTTGAGATAGAGAAATGCAGGGAGCCATCGAGACTGCAGAGCAGAGCCAGAGAGAGGGAGGGAAGAAGGCAGGCTGAGAAGGGGACAGGAGAGACCCAGACCCAGCCTAGCAGGGGAGAGCAAACCGAGGCGCGCGGGGCTGGGGTCCTCTTCCCAGGCCCGCCCTCACCTAGAGCTCAGCCCGGGGCTGGAGGCTGTGCCCACTGCTGCCAGCCAGGTCCAGGCGGGGGCCACGCAGGGTCTTGTGAGAGCCACTCCAGCTGATGATGCGGCCGCTGTCATCGTCCCAGGGCGAGGATGTCTCCGTGTCGCTGAGCCACTCAGCGTCCCCTGCATAGTGGGTGGGGGCAGCGAGCAAGGGCCGGGCGGAGAAGGCACGCAGGTCTCTCGGCCAGAAGTGCGCCTTGTACTGCTCACTATGAGGCAGGGGGAAGGCTCAGGAGGGCTGAGGTGGGTCCCGCCAGCCACACCGCATGCCCGCCTGGAGCCGGGCACCTCACCTGCCCAAAGCACCTCACCTCACCGCCCTCCCCTTCAAGACTGCACAACAAACTCAAGAAGCAGGGTCTCTATTCTCCCCACTTTCCAGACGGGAAAACTGAGGCTCACAACAGGGACGTGGCTTGACTAAGAACCACACGGGCAGCCCAGAATTCACACCTAGGTTGGTCTGACTCCAGGGCCAGGCTGGGCTACTCCTTGGCGACCTTGAAGAAGTGACTCAGCCTCAGTCTTCCCGGCTGCCCTCGCCGAGGTGGGCTCCCCGGATGAGCTGACCCTGCCCGGCCCCCATCTGAGACTCACTTGGGGTGCCGGTCAAACATGATGGGCAGGAACTCGTCCACAGGCAGCATTCGGTGCAGGGGCTGGGAGGCCAGCAGCTTGCGAGCACCTGCCAGGCTCAAGACATAGGCCAGGGTCCAGTAGGAGTATCCGGCCACCACCAGATGTGGCAGCCCGTCCACGGCGGCCTCCTCCTCGGGGTTCACCTGCTTCCGGCCCAAGTAGCTGCGGGTGACAGCAAGGGCAACCAGGAGTCACGGCAGGTCCTGGGGTGTCCGAGGACCCCTTCCCCGATCACAGGCCAGGCTCAGGGGCAGGACTGGCCAGGCTCCCAGCAGGAGAAGGCAGAGCCCCAGAGCCCCCCGACCCCGCACCATCCCGCAGGTGCAGGCTGCCTACATTAGGTCCCATGGCAACTTCTCTGCCTCCACCTCCTCCATCAGCTGCTCCAGTCGCCCTCTGAAGTTGCTCTCAAAGCGCACGTCGTCCTCAAACACCAGGACCTGGGCCAGGCCCCTGGCAACCACCTGCAATAATGGGGCAGGGTGGGGGGAGCGACACACAACACGGGGGGAGGCTCTTTAGATTCAGGCGGTCCCCTTCCACCTGCCTGACAGACTCTCCCTGGCCTCCATTATATGGCAAAGGCTCAGCCCTGGCCACGTCACTCAGCTGTTCCAAAGCCTGCTGGGGCTCCCACCGCCTGGGGACTGAAGTCCCAACATCTGGCTCTGGCAGTCAAGGTCCTCCAGGCCCCCAGTCCAGCTCTCCAAGTAGACTCTGATGGCAATCATAACCTTTGCTGCGTTCACTGAGTGCAGCCATATCCCTGGGACCCTCGGGAGGCAGGACGCACGATGTCCCCGTCCTGGACTCCAGGCCCAGCTCCTCACTTGGCCTCCTAAGCTGTCCTCAAGGAAGCTGGGCTGGCTGGAGGTGGGGGAAGACCCCAGCCCCCACGACTCCTAAGAGAAAGTTACTTTTTTTTTTTTAAGATTTTATTTGTTTATTTGACAGAGAGAGACACAGTGAGAGAAGGAATACAAGCAGGGGGAGTGGAAGAGGGAGATGGAGGCTTCCCGCAGAGCAGGGAGCCCGATGTGGGGCTTGATCCCAGGACCCTGGGATCACGACCCGAGCCGAAGGCAGACGCTCAATGACTGAGCCACCCAGGCGCCGCTAGAGAAAGTTATTTTTGTAACTTCTGGAAATGTGAAAAGAACGTGAAATCAGCTTAGTAAACGGTGAAATGGAAGTCATCCTTCAATCTGTTCAGGGACCGTAGAAGATGGGGCGCCTGGCTGGCTCAGTCGGTTAAGGGTCTGCCTTCGGCTCAGGTCATGATCCCGGGGTCCTGGGATCGAGCCCCACATCGGGCTCCCTGCTCAGCGGGAGCCTGTTTCTCCCTCTCCCTCTGCCTGCAGCTCTGCCTGCTTATGCTCTCTCTCTCTGTCTGTCAAGTAAATAAATAAAATCTTAAAAAAGGAACAGTAGAAGATAAACAGAAATATAAGCTCACGTGCTTATATTTTGGTTATGGTGGAAAATAAAAACAAGGAGTGGGTCTGGGTGCTGCCTCTTGGAGGGGTGCCTGCCCCTTGGACGCCAGTCCCCTGGTCCCTCCTGCAGGGGCCAGGCAGTGACCTCTCATTGGCGCTCACCTGCCCCCCCAGCTCTGAGCTGAGGCTCCTGGGCCAAGCCCCAGGCTTTCCTTCTTCCCCCCGAACACACAGATCCAGTCTACCTCAGAGCCTTTGCCCCACCGTTTTCCTCTGTCCGGAAGGCTCTTCTCGCTGCCCCTCGGTGGTGAGGCCCACCCTGGCCCCATACCAGGCCAGGAATGGAGGCCAGTCCACACTCCAGGACAGTCTGTACATCTCCCCTCCACGGCTAGCTTGCTTCTTCCCGATTTCTGTGCCCTGTCCTGGTCCCTGAGCCCCGGAAGGGCAAGAGGGGCCTCTTCCTTGTTCCCCTCTGTATTTTCAGCAACAGATCTCCCAGCACACAGGATGCGCTCCGTAGAGACTACGGAATGAATACAGCACAGGGTTGAATGCATAGGAGGTTTAAAGCTGCCGGCCAGGTCTTCCTCAGTATATGCATTCACCCACTGGTTCCCCTGGGCGCTGAGCACAGAGCAGCGAATAGGGTGCCCCCCCCGCCACAGCTATCCCTGCGGGGGCGGCGTCCTCACCTCCTCCCAGATGGAGTAGTGGCTGAGGAAACAGCCCACCTCGCCCTTGGTCAGTGTGCGGCCCGAGTAGGGGTCCTGGTAGCCAGGGAGCAGGTCCACGCCGAGGCTCCTCATGATACTGGCGTTGAGTGTCCTGAGGGAGACGGGTATCATGGGGCGAGGGGTGCCTGGCCTGTGGCTGCTGGGGGCAGTCACACTGGAGTTTAATTTAAAGGTGTCAACCTCGTTACTGCTTCATGTGGCCTGAAGACGTTGTGATAACCCAGGGAACCAGAGCCACCTAAGGCCGGGGTGACCCTCGAGGGAGGGAATAGAAGCATGGGGAGATGGGAAGCAGCCTGAGGGGCATGCTCCCCAGAATGAACATGGGGGGACACGGCATCTGCTTCTCGGGCAGAGGCCCAAGGAGAGGATGGACATCCTGCTGTCGAAAGGGCTGGGGGCACAAGGGGCCAACAGCTGTGGGCAAGCACAGCCATGTGACCTCTGGTTCCCCAGGGCTACAGGACTGGCCCCCACCCCCACCCCCACCCAAGATAGAGAAGAGTATAAGTCCAAGATAGAGAAGAGTAAGCCTGATAATAATAAAGACACCTAACCTTTGGAATACTTCCTCTGTGTCGGGCCCTGGCTAAGTCCTCACTGAGCCCTTAGAAGTCCTAAGAGGAAGGCACAATTAACTGCCATTCACACAGCAGGGCTGGGAGGTGGCGGTGACTTGCCAGAGGTCACCCAGCTGGTAAGTGGCAGAGCTGGAACGCAAGCCTAGGGGCTCCAGATTCTGGGCCTTAACCGCCGTGCTCTCCTCCCTCCCGTAGGTCCTGTTTCCGTCTGCCCTGGGGCTCTCTAAGACAGAATCACTCAGGCCCTGTTTGATAACCTCCTGGAACAGCAAACTCATTCCACTCATTTGTCTGCTCTTCCCAATCCCAGGGGGCTCCAGTGGGCCACACTGCTCCCCTAGCTGCCCAGGGCCCCGCCCCCGGGGAGCCTCACCGGCCGTCCACAGCATCCACCACCCGCCCAGAAATCTCCATCTCCCAGAGCGAGCTTAGCATGCGCTCACGGCGGTCGGGCCGGCGGGCCAGGCTGATGACAAACACCTAGAGGAGGCAGGGAAGGTGGGTGCGGGAGGGGTGGGTGTAGCGGGAGGGGAGAGCCCACCCACTTCCTGACCCCAATTCTGCAGGCTGAGGGAACTTACCTCATCAAACCCCAACTTGCTGGGTCTCTTTGGGGGCCGGGACACATGCGCTGAGGCCCACATGGGGGGCCCGTCCACTGCAGAGGGAAGTACCCCCCATCATGAATCCCTACGGACTCTTGTCAGCAGTGACCCTGGAGTCCCAGCCCCGCCCCCGCCTTGCCCCCTTGGAACACCCAGGAGGAAGGGCCGTCAGAGATCATAGGATCCACCTGCTTCCATCATAGAGATGGGGACACTGAGGCTCAGCAGGGAAAAGGGCTTGCCCAGAGTCAGGGAGTAAGTTAGAGGTTGAGGCTGGGACCCCAAGCCCACTGCCCAGTCAGGTCCGGGGCCTGGGAGAAGGGGCACAGGGGGTGGGAGGCTAGCGTGGCAGCAGGCTAGTGACCTGGCTCCCAGCCCTCACCTAGTGCTTCCAAGATCAGGTGGATGAAGTTGACCCTCTCATCCTCCAGCCCCTGGTGGGATTTCACAGGCACGTTCATGTACCCGTAACGGTGTTCATTGCACACGTGGACCGTAACCCCTGTGGAGAGAGACCGAGTGAGTGCTGGAGCAGGGGGGCAGGGCTCTTGGAACCCAGGGCAGGCATCCTCTCTGGGACTCAGTGTCCCCCCTGTGGGGTTGGAGGGAGAAAAGGCTTGACTCAAACAATATCTAAGGGACCTTTCTAGCTGAGATGGCTTATGCTGGTCTAGAGCACCAGCTGGGTGCTGGGGGAGGGTGGTGAGCAGGACACAGCCCTGTCCCTGGGGGATCATGGGGAGGCAGGAGAAAGCAAACTCCCATCTGACCAAGCCTTCGGGACAGTCCATTGCTCCACCCGCTAAAGCTCCCCACCTCCTGGCCTCGCCGCCCCGCCTGAATCCTGCACCATCACCTCATGCCCAGACCCCTATGAGCGACGCCACACTCTCTCCTGCCTCCACCCGCCAACCAGAGTGGCCTTTTCTACTTCTTCAATATTTGTCACCTTTACTGCAATTACTTCTTTCCCCTTTATCTCCTATAGACTGTGAACTCTTTTGAGTGGCAGGCGCACAGAATCCGCTTAAAAGTCAACCCCACGCCCAGTATGGGGCACAAGCCTGCGCCAGCGTGGGGACTCAGTAGCTGGGTGCTGGAAGCCTGAATGACGGGGACAAAACCCCCTGCAAACTGCTGACCAGTTAACAGCGGCTGACACCCGAAGTAGTGATAGCAATGACAAAAACACGGGAACGCTTCTGCTTCTTCTCATGGATCCTCCATGGGTTTGTTTTTCCTTCACTCGCCTTTTGCACTTGATACGATTTTTTTTGCCTTGCACGTCTGCAGCAGACTCCACCAACACCTCTTGCACGAAAAAGCCAATGACATGTCCCCCTCTGGCCACTGTGGGCACACTGCTTGCTCAGGTGCAGTGCTCCTGGGTTACATCGTCACTTCTCCTTCTCCCTGAATTGGCCTGTGCAGTCCTCTCAAGATCCTTTTCCCAACACCGGGCGTCTCTGTGTCACTCTCATCTCTGACTCTTCCTCAGGACTGGATTTATCCCGGCAGAGCCCAAACACTTTGCGGTAATTTTCATCTTAAAAATAATGCCAACACCCGAGTGTTCTTTTCAGTGTGCAAAGCCAGTCGCGTGATCCTCTGATGGCTGCCCAGTGTTGTCAGGCTAAAGACCAGATGCTTGCCGTCAGGTCCACACAGGCTGGCCCCAGCCCACCTTTCCTGCCTCAGTCTCTGCCATGCCTCCCTTCACTTATTATGCTCCCGTCACCTGCCTTCTTATGTTGCCTGCTACCACAGGGCCTTTGCACCTGCTGGTCCTGTTGCCTGAAATGCTCTTTCTTGCTCTTGTTAATGCTTTCCCATACTTCAGATCTCAGCCTCAAAGTTCACACCCTCCAGGAAGCCTTCCTTGCCCAGACTACTCTGGCCTAAGCTCCCTGAGCACGCAGAATCAAGAAGCATTCCTTCCTGTCATGGCTGTGATTGGACATTGATTTGTGTGATCCTTGGACTGACTGGACTGGAAGTTCCAGGAGGGCAGAGACCGCCTGACTTTACTCACCACTGTCTCCCCAGTACCTGGCACGCACATGGTGGGTCCTCCATAAATATTTGCCTAATGAAGGCATACGTGAAAGTGCCATGATGGGGAGCCAGAAGGACATCTAACCTCCCAGGGCCACGGGCTCAAGAAAGGCTACGACCCAAACAGGAGTTTAACAGGATGGATGGGAGACGGGGGAAGGGCGTGCAAAGCAGAGGGAACAGCATATGCGAAGACCTAGAGGCCTCCAGGGTTGCTCACGGAGAGCCGGTCCTCACCAGCAGCCTGGCAGGCATAGGCGAAGACGATGATATCGTCGAAGGGCCAGGTGTAGTTGGGATGAGGGGGGTAGAAGGCAAGCTGGGCTGCCCCCTTAGCCCGTAAGGACACCAGGAAGGTGGAATGGACCATGGGGACCTGGAAGCAGCCCCGGCGCTGGCGGTTCTTGGTGGGGAAGTAGTCTGCTGTGCGTCGGTAGTAGCCCTGGGGAAAGGGGTTGCTCTGAACTATGATGGGGCCCCTCCATCCCCAGAGCACTGCCTCCCTTGCCATGGCCCACAGACCCCGAGGCCTCCGTCCCCAGCCTTACCTGGGGCGTGATCCCACACCAGAAATTGGAGTAGTAGGTCTGGGAGTCCAGCATCGGGGCCACCACGGGCAGCCCCTGCTCTATCAGAAGCCTCAGCGTCTGGTTGTTGGTCAGAATGTTGTCTGTATCTGCAAACTTTTGGGAGGGGGTGTCACAGACCCCAGCCTTATTTGGGTTGTACCCCCAAGGAGTCACTGAGTGGGATCCCTCTAGATTGCCAGAGACCCTGCATGTCTCCCAGGATCCAATGGCATCCCGTTAGAGAGTTCTAACCTATAAACCAATAGGTGTATTTCTGGACCAAAGATCTCGTCTGGAGCAATGGCTCTGGGATCAGGTCCAGAGATTCGACCTGAGTTGCTGATCTAAGAGCTTTATTCTAGATCTGACTTAGGGAGTAGGGCCAAAGACCTACGCTGAGTTCTAGTCTGGGGAACCAAGCCCAGTTTATACTCCGGGCTCTAGCCCAGGAACCTAGGCTCAGTATACACCCAGTAATCTGTCTCATGGATCCAGGCTTCACAGCTAATCTGAGCTCAAGCATAGGGATCCAAGCTCAATATCCAGTCTGGATTCTGACCCAGGTTGCTAGCTGAAGGGTCCAGCCTACAGGTAGTTAAGTCACACCGAGATTGCTGTCAGGGACAGATATCACCACCTGTGGGAAACCCCATCCTTTCTTACCAGGATGTAGTCAGCCCCCCAGTCCCTAGCAAAGGTCAGGGCTTCCTGTTTCAACTCCATCAGAAACTGGTGCCTTTCTCTGGTCCAGTGCTTGGGCCCCTCTTCGTCTGGGTAGGACCTGAGAGGGTAAAGAGATGAGAAGTTCGCCAGGGGCAGATGCCCGCGGTCCCCCTGGCGGCAGGGCAGTGGAGAGAGAGCCCTGGCCTGGAGGTGGGGGTTTGCGGCTGTCCCTTTTCCTCCCTGGGTGGCAGCTGTTGGCCCTCTTCCCAAGAACCCTTCCCTCCAGTCACCACCTGGGCTCCCCCTCGGGCCTCCAGACCACAGCCGCGTAGTGGTCACCCACAGCCACCAGCCACTCCTGCAGCATCTGCGTGGTGTTGTCCGTGTTGTGGTCCGTGGCACACCTGGGGACGTGGGAGGAAGAAGGGTGAGGGGGCCCCGCCACCGAAGGGCCAGACCCCGAGGCAGCATTGACCCCTGGAGCACCAACCCCTCCGAGGCTGGATGCTTGGGCGCTACAAGGGGAGGAGATGTGCTCCAGAGTCAGGCAAGCACCCCGGGCCCCGGCACAGGTCTGGGACCCACCGTGTGACCTCAGGCGAGTCCCAAGCATCTCTGGGCTTCACTTTCTCCCTCTGGAACCAGAAGCTGGCCTGCCTGGCTCATGGGCCGAGACCCCAGAACACGAACGCATTTGAAAGACAAAGTATGTCAGCTTTGAGGACCGCACCTGCCACATGTCCTGGCCACCCTCCTTCCTTACCAGGAGACCACAGGTCCACGCCTCCCCCTGAGTCAGGACGGGACAGAAGAGCTGCTGCTTCCCTCTGCCCGAAAATCCTAGTAAGGACCAAACCCTCCTCCGAACATCCCTGAGAAGTGCTGATGCGCCTGAGCTCCAAGGCCACGGAGCATAACCTCTCCTCTGCGGAGGGGGCTCCCCAGACGGGGTGGGGGGGTGTGCAGAGGGCTTAGCCAAGATCCCAAGTTTTAGGTGATGCTGCCCCTTTAAGCCAATTCCCCAGAAGTGAAGACTAACTACGTGTCAAGTCTCCTAGGGGTGGGAACTAACTAACTCAGACTGTGGTAATTGTGGGCAGCCTCCCCAGGCCCCAGCTCCACCCTCAGCGCAACTTTGGTGTGCCTTGGGGGGTAGTTTGTCAATTCTCTCCAGTTTATCCCCAACCTCAGCCTGGGACTCCTCCCTGTTCTGGCTTCCACACACTGGGGCCCCCCTGATTCCAGTGAGCCCTGTGGGGGTGCCTGGGGGAGAGACTCTAGGGAAGGGGCTCTCTGCCCTGGGCTGGCGGGACCCAGACCCTCCACAGAGAGGCCTGAACCAGCCGGGGGAAGGAGGAGCAGGTCCGACGCCCCCCAGCAGAGCAGCATGGAGGCAGACAGCACCCTCACCTGCTCCCCAGGCACCCCCAGGCCTGCTGATCTCTGCCACGTGGGGACCCAGGGCAGGCCAGCTGTTCCTGCTGGCTCCACTCCAGGTCAAGCCAACCCCAGGGCCCACGGGGGCTTGAGTTTGGGCTCTGGGGCTAGGGCAAGAGGACCTCACTTAAAGCCAGAGGAGGTCCCCAGAGGAGTAAGGGCCGGGGTGGGTGTTCCGGGGTCAACCTAAAGCCTCAGAGGTCAGTCTGCAGGGCCAAGGGGATAAGGGGTCCGGTCCAGGGGCGCGGGGCCGTGCAGGGCCTGTCTGCCAGGGGAGGGGCCTGTCTGGGTGGTGTCTGGACGGAGCAGACGGGGCCATCGGGAGTGGAGGCTATCTGTGGGGCGGGGGGTACATGCCCAGAGGGTGCCAGTGCCCGGTCTCTCTCACCAGAGGGCCAGCCTGGCCCGGGGGTAGTCCAGCCGCTCCAGCGCGCCCAGGTAGTGGGGCAGTGAGTGCTCGGCATTGCGGGCCAGGACGGTAAGGACCACGGCGGGCAGCGGCGGCTCCACGACGCTCGCAGCCTGGAGCCACGGCTCCAGCAGGAGCAGCAGCTGAAGCAGCGGGGCGGCGGGGGCGACGGGCATGGCGGGCGCTGGGGCGGCGGCGGCTGCCCCCGGGGCTCGGGCCCGGCGGAGGGGAGTGGGCGGGGCGGCCGGACGGGGCGGAGCCTGGGGCCAGGGCGGGGCCGAGGCGGCCGGACAAGGGCCGGGGGGGCGGGAAGCGTGCCCCCAAAGACTGGGCTCCCCCTCCCACCCGCTACGCGCTGATTCTCAAGTGTCCTCTCCTCAACCCGGGGTGGCGGAGGGCCAGGGCCCGGAGACCCGCCCCACGCGCGACCGAGGGGCAGCCCCCTCCCGGCTGGACGCCGGCGGGGGAAACGGGGGACGAGGGGAGGGTCCGGGGGGACGGCATCCGAGCCGCTCCGGCGCCTGAGAACGCTCCACTCCGAAGCCTGGTGAGTTCAGCCCCCGGAATCCGGCTCTACCGAGCGTCCGACGCCCCTGAGTCCGGATTCCCCGGCCTCGCATCCGACCCTCGGACCTGAGCCGCCGCCCGCGGGGGGGACCGACCGGCCGCAGCCCTTGCCCGGCTCCCCGCTCCCGCCCCGCCTCCGCCCCCGGGCGCCCTCTGGCGGACCCACGCGGAACTTCGCAGACCTGCGCGGTGACAGCCCGGGCGGGGGTCGGGGGGCGCGGGCGGGGGTCCCCCGGACCTGGGCGCGCCATCCAGCTTCGTCCCGAGCCTGGCGTCCTCCGCGTGCCGTCGTCCTCGCCTCCGCCGCCAGCGCCGGCGCTGCTCTGGCCCTTTAAGAGAGCAAAGCCCACTTTCAGGCGGAGTGTAGGTCCAGGGGGCACCACGGAGCCCGCACCTTGACCCAGCCCTGTCCAAAGCAGGACAGCCTCCCCTGGGGCAGAATCGGGGTCCTGAGGCCCCTGCTGAGATGGGAAGGGGGCTCCAGCCTCCCTTAAGGAGAGGGCAGAAAGGGAGGGGCCTGAAGGCCCCAAGCCGGTTCCAGCTCAGTATCTGCTGTGATCCCAGACAGGCCACTTTCCCTGAGCCTCTTGTCCTCATCTGGATGGGTTTGCAAGGAGAATGAACGCACTGGACGCTTCTCTCTGCATGGAGCATGACCCCGGAAAGAGTTGCTGAGGCGAAGACAGGACTGGAGAAGCCAGGCTCCCCTTCCATTCACCCCCCCACACCCACCTGGAGGCCTATGTTCCTGTGGCAGCTTTGGGTCTCCCTTCAGGCTCTTCCCAGGGTCAGAGAAGAGGGCTAAGCCTGTGCACACTATCTCTGCTGGGAGGGGAGGGATGGGGACCAGCAAGGAGTGGACTTGCCTGGTGACGGGGCAGCCTGTGGGGGCACTGAACCCGGGAGTCCTGGTCTTCAGCGTGGCTCCTAAGCTTCCACCAGGCCCCAGTCAAAGCTTCGGTGGCCAGTGGCCCTGCAATGAAAGGTCAGAGGCCTCACAGAAGAGTCCATTCCCTTGCATGGTAGCCTCTGGCCAGAAGGCACTCCCATCCCCAGAATGGGGATTCCATTTCTAAAGCCAAGCAGTATGCCCCACCTGACCCATCCCGGAGTCATCCCAGAGCCTCTGCCCATCCTATTGGTCACAGGGGCTTCCAAATTCTTCTCTGGCCTCAAGTCTCCTTCTCCTCCTCTGAATGCATTCACACCTCCCACTGTCGCCTTCCTCCTTCCCCAGTCCATCCAGTGACCCATCCTGTCACTGACTCCCTTGCCCGTGGGGTCTCCCATCATCCCTGCCCAGGAAAACCCTATAACCGTCTTGCTTTTCAGCGCGGTGGGACTACTGCTGACTCAGGATTTCCACTCTCAACTGGACTCTCGCCAGGCCCAACGGGGCCAGTTTCCCTTGCTCCTGCCCCCTCTCTGTGGCACGTCCCAGCTTCTGAAGCCCCCACTCCAGCAAGGATCTCCCTGCTACTTTTTGGAGAAAAGAGAACCCTCACCTGGGAGCTCTCATTTCCAGCGTCCCAGCCTCCGCCAAGCCTGCCTCAGCTCTCACTGCCTGGTATAAGGGAAGAGGCGCCCCCTCCTCACCCTCCTCACGGTGGAACAGCCCCGAAGCTCCAAATGCCATCCCCTTGCCCTTCCTGGATCATCAGCCTCCCTCTCTTCTGGGTGCTTCCTTTGACATTCCAAAGGACTTAAATCTCCCCCAGCTTAAAATAAGAAAACAGCCACATCCTTATCTCTCTCTCCCTCCCGAACCTGCTCCAGGTCTCCCTTCCTCATCTCCCATCATGGCTTGACACACACCAAGGCTGCTCTAGCCGAACTGCTCCTGCTAAGACCAGGGTCCTCCTGGCCACTCCCCTCAACGCTCATTGCCTCCTCATCCAGAGGGCTCCCTTCAGCACCTGACCACATGGGCCACTCTGTCTTTCTGGAAAACCGACTGTCTCCACTGCCCATTTGGACCCCAATTCCACCCGTTCTTGGTTGTTGTTGTTTTTTTTAGGTAAACTCTACACGCAGTGTGGGGCTCAACTTCACGACCCTGAGATCAAGAGTCACATGCTCTATCAACTGAGCCAGCCAGGCGCCCCAAGATTCCACCTGTTCAAAATAGAACCCCAACCTTTCCCCCAAACATGCTCCCCCTCTGTTGGCCTCCCCAGTCTAGAGAACGGCACCTCGGCCACCAGGTCCCTCGAGCTGGAGAGCCCGTGTCCCCAGTGACAGGTCCCTCTTTCAGCCCACTCCATCACCTTGTCTGGGCAGGCCCGCCTCCTCAGTATCTCTTGCACGTGGCCACCTCTTTCCTTCCACACTGCCACTCGCCTGGCTCAGGGCACCAGCACCACTCATGGGGCCCACAGCGTCTCCCAGAGACCTGCCCCCCACGTGTTCGCCCTAGAAACCATTCTGCCCTCAGCCACCCTTTCTAAATGTCTGCGGTTAACACCCTTCAGGGACTGCCCACTGGGAGCACCGAGGCCCTGCAATGGCCTGCGTGACTCTTCTCCAACTCCTCTCGCCTCCCCCACCCCTCCCTTCCCCTTTAATCTCCTGCTCAAGCCAATTTAGACAAGGTACAGTTTCCCAAACACTCCATGCTTTAGGACCGTCCCACATCCTTTTTTTTTTTTTTTGCTTCCTTCTGCCTGAACTGGTCTTTCTGCCAACTCCTACAGGCCCTCCAGTGTCCGCTGAAACTTGCTTCTCATGGAAAACCTTCCGCATGTCATGTCGGGGGCACATACCCTGACATGGCATCCTATATAATCCCATTAATTCGGCAAGTATTTATTGAGCACATACTCACTACATGTGCAGGTAGAAGGTGCCCCTCTGCCTCTAGGGTGCTCACATTCCTGTGAGGGGACAGACAGGGAGCAGGCAAGCAAACTGATAAATTACGAGATAGTTTCCAAGAAGGGTAAATGCTGCGAACAACATAAAACCAGTTAAGAAGAACAGAGAGCTGCTGGGGGTGGGAGGCAACATTGAGGAGAAGAGTAGGTGGATCTCTTTCAGGGTGCAAGCGAGCCAGCCAAGGGCAGTTCTGGGGGAAGAGTGTTCCACAGGGAGGGAACAGGTTGGGCCAAGGTCCTGCGGGGGGTACAAGCCAGGAAGCCAGTGGTTGGAGCCCAGTGAGCAAGGGGAGGGTGGAAAGAGGTGAGGATCAACTAGGGCCTTGAAGCTGAGACAGGAGTTTGGGTTTTTTTTTTTTTAAGATTTTATTTATTTATTTGACAGAGAGAGACACAGCGAGAGAGGGAACACAAGCAGGGGGAGTGGGAGAGAGAGAAGCAGGCTTCCCGCGGAGCAGGGAGCCCGATGCGGGGCTTGATCCTAGGACCCCGGGATCATGACCTGAGCCGAAGGCAGACGCTTAACAACTGAGCTACCCAGGCGCCCCTGGATATATATGTATTTTTTAAGCGCAATAGGAAGACACTGGAGGGGGTAAGCAGAGAAGTGATGTGATTTGTCTTAAAAAGATTGCTCTACAGCGATAATATTGGGCCAAATTCACAGAAACGCTGAAGCGGGGTTGTCGGAACATGGTCCCTGGACCAGCCAGCATCAGCCTCACCTGGAAATTGTTAGAAATGCAAATTCCTAGGCCCCTCCTCACACCTAGTGAGTCAGAAGCTGTGGGAGCAGAGGTTGAACCAATAAGGCTTCCAGGTGATTGTGATGCAGGCTGGTTTGAAGACGCTGTTCTCTGGGACCCATGGCCAGGCCATGGAGATTATATGCCTGGGAAAAAGTGATGGTTTGGGCCCATCTGGCTGAATAGGTAGACCACCCCTGAACCATCATCTAACTAGGCTGTGGGTCACCCCGACCCCACCCAAAACACAGCATCTTCACTCCCATCTCTCAGCCATTGTGGTTCTGGCCAGAGCCAGGGGGTGGCGCCAGCGCCTCAGGCTTTCGTCTGGATTCGGGAGCTAGAGACCCAGGAAGAATTGTCCCCCTCCCCTGCGCCTTCTCCCCACCCCCACCCCCCTGCCCTCCTGCCCCCCCCCCTCCCAGCCTCTGCTCCAAGGCCTGCCCACTGGCAAAGGCTTTGCAGGGTGGCTTTCATCAGGGAGGGGGGCGGTGAGGCTGGCACACCCAAGGTAGGGGCCAACCCCTTCTTCCTGGAGGTTAGGAAGGTGGGCTGGAGAAGCCCCCTTAGTCAGGAAGAAATTAGGGGTGTCTGGCCTGTGGGGCTTGGGGGCCAGGAGCCCAGGCAGGCGGCTTTGGTCCAGTTGCCTCTGGCTATACCTGTTTAACCCTCTGCCTATCCTGCCCAACCTCAGGTGAGGTCTCAGGTGCTCCTTCTCTGCCCATGGGCAGGGGCAGCCTGGAGGTACCCTGGGGCCCAGACAGAGCCCCAAGTTTGGGGGTCCTCACAGCCTAGCAGCCAAGCAAGCTAGGAACAGGGGCCCACGGCGGAGAGAATGCGTGGATGGAGCTCTTACCAGCTGCCAGCTTCACGTCTCCTGGGTTGGGGGCTCTCTGGGCCCCTGTCCTGCTTTGTGGTCAAGGGAGCCCAGCCTCCTGCCCAGAGGAGGAGCCCATGCCCTGCTCCTGGTCCTGGGTGCAGCTCAGCAGATAGGAATCCAGGAGACCCGCCTGGGTTCCTTCCTAGCTCAGGTTCCAAGTCCCGTTCCAAGAGGACCCAGGGCTGCGTGCAGGCTTGGCCCCCATCGGCTCCCCTGCCCCTCATCTTTCCTCCTTGAGGGGAGGCTGAGACCCCTCGCCCAGCTGGAGTCACTCTGTCCATGCTGCTTGCTTTGGTCTCTGCTCCAGGGATCTGCCCACACCTCCTCATCTCCAGGGGTCCCACCCAACGCCCATGCCCACACCCACTCCAGAGGCCCACCCTCTGCCTCTTGGCCATGCCCGGGTCTCCCAGGACCCCAGATGGGGAGCTAGCCTCCTCTGAGGTTCTGCCTCAGTCCGCAGGAAGCTGCGGCTAGGCCAGCTGCTTTCCCCGGGCAGCCAGCTGTTTTGCCCATCAGGGAGCAGCCCTGGCTCCCCAGCTGAAACCGTGGCCGTGGCTGTGGCTGCAGCGTGGCAGCCTGGCTGGTCCAGGGCCTGCGGGCTGTT